CAACTTTCCACCCGCTTTGATCACCAAGGCAATGCCGAAGACTTGGATGAGGCTATTGCACTTCACAGGGAAGCGTTGGCCTTGCGCCCTGTCGGTCGCAAAGATCGGTCTATGTCATTGAACGGTCTTGCGCATGGACTCTCCACTCGCTTTGATCACCGAGGCAACGCCGAAGATTTGGATGAGGCTATTGCACTTCACAGGGAAGCGCTGACTTTGCGCCCTGTTGGTCACACAGATCGGTCCTCGTCATTAAACAATCTTGCGACTCGACTCTCCACCCGCTTTGATCACTGAGGCAATGCCCAAGACTTGGATGAGGCTATTGCACTTGACAGGGGAGCGCTGGCTTTTTGCCACTCGAGTATCCGTGGTATATGTAAGCGGGGCTGGTCACGAGCCTAGTGAGCAGGGTGATTGGGGGGGCTGGACCAAACACTCGCCATTTCAGTCAAGCTGATCACTGTCGTTCACCTCCCGCTTTCCATATTATTCATCTTCAGGTCTCAAAGCGATTCATTTATCGCAACCACGACTACTGCAAAATCTATCGAGATTGCACTTTCCCCTCAGGCTAGCTGGTACCTCTACAACGATGCATCGAAGATAACTCGCACGTTTGTAGTGCTTTGTTTCTTGCAAGCCCTTCATCGAAGCTGCTGGTATCGGCACTGCAAATGAAATCAGAATATTTCCTTCGTACTCGAAATCTCGAATCACCGAGCTTACCAGGTCGGCGGCGCGATACTCTTCTCCCGCCTCGAGTGGGCCAGCTCAAGATTTAACTTTGTAAAGCCTAAACCGGCGGCTCAAGTTGTGGTTTTTCCCAGTTGTATTATAGTAAGCGTAGCGAGTCGAAGTATATTTGCTTCACTGATATTGTCATCCGTTCGATATTCGCGATTCCATTGTTCCAAGCTAAGGGCTCGATTAATATTGATATCTGATTTCGAGTAACACAACAAAACTACACCTGTAGTGTCCTGTAAGTTTGGTCGGAGGCCAAATTAACGCATGCAAATTTGCGTAAATTTGAGCGTGAGCTAATTAGCGCCAACTGCAATTTTGCTGAGACCGTGCGCTAATGCGCATCTGCCAGGCAGTGCCAGCACGCACTTGGCCCCAGTTACCCCAGGTTGCCCCTCATGCATAGTGGTCGCCAGCAAAGACTAGTACCCACATAGGCCACAGCGTCACCTTCGGCGGCTTTCGGCCGGCTTGGTCTCCCGACATAGTAGGGTGACTGCAAATCTGAAAATTGGGTGCATCCAGCACATTATTTAAGGCCATCATGACATGCATTCATGAAGATGATGTCACAGAACGTGAGCTGGCATTTATTTATCCGTGATGTAGATCGGCTGCCCCTCCACCACGTATATATAAAAGCCGACGTAGTTTTGACCCAGAGGGCATCGTCAGGTGTCAGCGATGATATTCAACTCACTCACTGCTATGATCATATCCGTCGCCGCGATGGCAGGCGTAGCTATTGCATCTGAAGATCTGGTGATATCACCCATGGGCCTACCCTGCTCACCCCCTAGTAAGCACCTTTGCCATTCAAGTACACACCTTACGGCTAGTATCCGCAGATTCACAAGCGTGCTCTACGGGCATCAAACTTTGAAACAATAACAACGATTTCGCGCATTTGTGCGGACCTTCAGGCACAATAACCTTCTTCCAAGATTGTCCGTGTAAAAATTGCTGCTTTGAGGATTCAGATGGGAGCCTCCAGTGTTGAGCCTGGGTGAGCTTGGTCTTTCCCGCTACCTGTGGAGTCCGAATGTTGATGTGCCCGTATAGTATGATATATGCAAAATACTAGGCGTGAAGGAGTGGTGTGTTAATACATTGAAGATTTGGACTCGATTGATTATGGTTTCTGACTGGAGGACTGGAGGATATGGTGCTAGAGGTCCGATTACTATCTGTACCGGTTTCGGCCTAGGTCCTAGTAGTCGACTTTGAGCACGTCCGGGCCTTCATATAATCAGCAATCTTGACATGTCCGTCGAGGGTAGGCAGAATGTTGTCGAGCTTCGTATCACAGTAGACGATATCAATATTTGCGTGGAAATATTAATATCCCACAGCATGAAGACCCCCGATTCGTAACACTTGGCTTAGCGGAACGAGAACTGCTTGTGCTCATAAGGTCAATGTCACAAACGTACGCCATACGAAATACACGCGCCTGTCAGTCTGGAAACACGAGTGCAAGCCAGGCAGAAACGAGTGTCATTCAGTAGCGGTAGCAAGAACGATCGTTTTCCCTGGATGAGCTTCATAATTGCAACATCGCCAAACTCGTTTGTGGTGGTAGTGGGCCTATTTCCAAGCTTGGTGAGCATATCTGCTAACACGGTGTACAAATACATACCTGAGATTCGTGGGTCGCGTGATTTTCTTGCTCCTGGTGCTGGTGGTAAGGGAGGCAACAACGGTTTATTGGGGTAAGTGGCAGAGACAAGAACCCGAGTACCTCGAGCACGAGGAGCATGAGACGGGGTCGGTACTGATGATTGCGGGAGTCCACACTGTTCTGCGCCGACCCAGAGCTCCTCGCATTGCTTGGGGGCACGGCCATCAGGAGATTACACAGGATACATACCGTGCTGCGGCAACAGCCTCATGAAGGTGATCCTGCAATACCCAATCTGACTGTTTCTCTTGTATCAATTTTCTCATAGTGGAGATGATCAGTTATGTCTACTCTATGATAATAATCAGTACTACACAATAATTGGTGCGGGCGGTGAAAAAATCGAGGCATAACAAACGGTGTAGGTATCATGAGTCGTCGCTGCTCCCATCTTTCAATATCGATGAATCGTCGCCGTCAAGTACTGTCGATTCGTCGTCGGTCTGGAATCTTGACTCATTATCGCTCTCGTAATCGGAAACCTCCTCGATAACCAGAGCTTCCTTTCTCGCAAGTTCCTTGTCTGCCTGTGGACTCGGCTCTGGGTGAGTGTCAACAAATGCTTGCAGTGATATTGGTTCATCCTCTGGATCGGGCGGTTGGAGCGTTGATCCCTCCGCTTCGTAGAAATCGGTGAGGGTGAGCGGACGCATGTTGAAGCCCTGGAATATCCAGTTGGTGAGGTTTACGATTGATGTCTCAAAGCGTACCTCTTGCTCAACCTTCATCAATGCTGCTTCGTCATGCTCCATAGCGCGCATACATTCCCTCACTGGGACCATCGCAGCGTTGCGGCATAATTCGCGCAAATCAGAACCAGAGAAACCCGTTGTCTGTGAAGCAAGGACGCGCAAGGAAATATGGGGATCCAGCTTGGTGTCCTTGAGCATCTGGCGGAGTTCAGAGCAAGTAATTTTACATCAGTGATATCGAAACATACCAGGGACAGAATTTTAAATCTCTGCTCTGCATCTGGCAAGGCCACAGCGAACCGCTTTGGCATTCGCCGCAGAATTGCAGGGTCGATGTCTCCTGGTCTGTTTGTCGCGCCTAGGACTAGTATCCTGTCAGAGCCAGATGTCAAGCCATCCCATGAACTAAGAATCTGTGATCAGTCAAAGATCAAGCAGAAAGGGCATTGCTCACGTCATGAATTCTGCCTTCATCATACCCATGACCTCGTGGTCATCTCCACGGCGTTCCCTCAGGAAGGAGTCGATCTCATCGACAAATATGATCGCAGGTTGGACCTTCCGCGCGAGGCTGAATAGTCCTGCGACTAGCTTGTTAGACTCACCAAACCACTTATTTGTGAGTGTTGATGCGGGAACGTTGATGAATGTTGCCCCCGATTCCTTAGCCAGCGCACGCGCGAGCATAGTCTTCCCGCATCCCGGAGGTCCGTAAAGTAAAACACCTTTTGGGGCCCCAAGAAGGGGAGACGCCGAGGTGAAAAGAGCAGGGTGAATTAAAGGATAAATTATGGTTTCGCGGAGAGACGATACAATTGGCTCCAGGCCCCCAATATCTAAGACATGTTAGTTAGCATTGAAAATCGTTTGCTGATGACAGCGAACTAACCCTGAAATCGAACGGTAATTTCGTCTGGGTGAACAACTTCCTTTGATATCGCTCCTGCAAGAAGTTACAGACGTCAGCACGAAGCGGTGCGTAGCCGAGGAGGTCAAGCGTACTCTCATACTCATCCAGCTTGAGGTTCTTTTGTCCGATGAGCTTCTTTATTGCTTCAGCGCTCTTCGTTGTCCGGTCGTCACTGCGCTTGAAGTACCACTACATAAATTTTAACTATGCTTCCGGAAATTGACATGACGGAGACGTACACGAATAGCACAGTAAACCGCTGCCTGGCGTGGATCCTCAGCTCACTGGAGCAAACTGGTTAACAAATGAACAATCACCTGCGAAGCTAGAAAAAGAGCAACTGCAATCATATCAGCATCGTGATAAGCACTGGCAACATTTGTGAACGGAAGGAGCGGTAAAACATACCATCTAGGATTATTAAGCGTCTCGTGCTCAGGGAAGATGACATCGAAAAGGAACGGAGGCTTGATTATTTACTGTGCAGTCAAAAAGCAGGCACGAGTGCCCGCAAAAATTTAAGAATTGACAAGGAGAACGTGGTGACTCGTGATGGGCCGACTGGCAGCAGCGTGGTCGATAATCATATTGTGGTATTTGTATATATTTGACAAGAGCTTTAGAATTCAATAGAGCCAAACATCATTTGGATGCAGTCCACTACTGGCAGCCGAGTACTTGAAACTTCCATGTAGCTGTCCTTACATCATGTGGCGGTTGGTCGCTGGCGCTGATTTACGAACTTGTCCGAAATCTATGTGCCAAACGTCGCCTTGAAACTATCGAAATGCAAATTGTTCGCCGCGGAGTAATTAAGTAGTAAGGCTCAAGTTAACCTTCTTCGCGTACTTAATTAAAACTCCAACTTGAAGCTCCAAGCTTTCATAGGTGCAGCCTCATATGACAGTCATTTAGTCAGGCTGACCATATCGTGCTTGGTTTTACATGTCACCAAAGGAAAACAAAAATATGCCAGGACCGTGGATTGAACACGGGACCTCCAGAAAACATCGCACTTCAGTCTGTTGCTCTCCCAGCTGAGCTACCCCGGCTACAAGTTCATAGACTCTATTCGACAGCTAGTATATGTCGAAGTGATGTCCTATCTAGGTGAATAGATCCCTCCGACAGTGCGGCGGAAGGTAGTTGCTACAACTACGTGGACATCCCCTGGCGAAGCCTGCTGAAGTCAGTCAAACATTCCCCGAATCAGACAGTGCCCACGGCAAACGGAACCCCGGAAATATAAACATGATTCGACAAGAAAATATCTCGTAAGTGGAAATCATGTGGTCTGAATCTGTCTGATAGCTTCTGATACCGGACAGAATTGAATACTTCAATCCCCGTCACGTTGCTTAGCCACGTCGGCTTTTCGGGTAGATGTTGCTTGTTGAAGCTGCCTTAAATAAGTCACCCAAACCACTGTGTCCTTCCCAGACTCTCTCAGGCTATCGCACCCTCCACCATGACAAACGTCCCCGCGCAATCAGCCCAATGGATGAAATACTTCGGTGATATCTATGGACATGCAAAGCCGCCTGTTCTGGGCTCCTTTGCGGTGAAAAAGATAGAGGACAAAGCCCGGGAGGTAATGAAAGACCATCTTCGTGAGTGTTATCATCCGCTCAAATACGCAATTCTTGATTTGAACGAGGGTGCTAGCGGCATACATGTACACATTTGGGAGCGCGGGGACGTGCTCGACAGATGCAGCAAATAGGCGTGCGTTCAACCGGTGGAAAATTGTCCCTGCAATGCTCAAGGACTGCACTAGTCGAAATGTCGAGGCGAGTATTTGTGAGCGTGTGATACCCCTGTCTAACATATTTTTAGACAACAATCCTCGGAGAAAAGTTCAACGCGCCTCTTTTCATATCGCCCGTAGGTGTACAGGGTATCTTGCATGCGGATGGAGAACTCGCAACTGCAAGAGCTGCCGCTGCCTGCGGGATTCCTTACATCATGAGCTCGGCGTCATCCCGGTCGATAGAGGATATCGCAAAGGCAAACGGGCCAAATGGTCAACGGTGGTATCAGCTCTACTGGTATGTTTAATCCTTGTCATCATTCCACTTATCATAACTCGGCTGTGAACACCTCAGGCCGCGCTCGGAGGATATAACAATATCCCTTCTCAATCGCGCGAAGGCTGCAGGTTTTTCTGCGCTTGTGATCACGCTCGACACCATGCTCTTGGGTTGGCGTCCACACGACCTTGACACTGCCTACATACCCTTCTTGTACGGTGTCGGCATCCAGGTTGGCTTGTCCGACCCTGTGTTCATGAAGCGCTTCGGGTACGAAGCTGTGCACGAGACCACCAAGTTCCCTTTCGAACCAGAGAAGATCAGAAACGCAGCGTTGAATGCAGGTGATGCGAATGCCCAGAAGGCAATGAAATTAGGCAAGGAATGGCTTCAAGAAACCAACTCGGGCGCGTTCAGGTCCTGGGAGCATCTACAATTTATCAAGGATCACTGGGATGGACCTATCATTCTGAAGGGAATTCAGCGGGCGTCCGTAAGTTCACATCTTTAAATTCACTGACGACGTTTAACACTCACAACAGGATGCGGAGAAAGCTATTGATATGGGTATCCACGGTATCATTGTGTCCAACCACGGTGGACGGCAAATTGATGGTGCCATTGGCTCCTTGGACGCATTAGCCAAGATCATGCGCTCGCCAAAAGTCGTTAAAGCGCAGGCGAAAGGTGATCTGACAGTCCTCTTCGATTCTGGCATCCGCACAGGTAGTGATGTCATCAAGGCCATGGCAATGGGTGCACAGGGAGTCCTCAGTACGTGTCATAATGATTCTGCAGTGGAGTCTCTCATTATAGAATTCTAGTTGCTCGTCCATACATGTACGGTCTTTCCATTGCCGGACAGGCAGGAGTCGAGCAGATCCTGATGCAAACGGTGGCTGATATGCATATCACAATGGGTCTCTGCGGGTATAGTGATGTCAACGACCTTATTGGGAAGTGGGACGAACTTCTCGAACCCGTAGATGATTGAACGGCAGGCGGCATTGCAAATCAACACATCAATCCATTCATTTGTACTAGAAGATTGTATTATGAACCATGTATCCCAAATGGTGCGCATCTCGAAGTTCATCAAAGCAGAAATTGCTCCGAAAGTTTGTCAAAATGCAAAATTGCCTTTAGATATCAGCTTCTGCCGGGCCTCGACTAGATCTTATCGACAACGTTTACTCTTGGTCGTAGTATCTCACCATTTCGGCAGTGTGCGGAATTGATAATGCAGCATACGATGCAATGTATGATTCCCTAATAAGATAAGTACCACCCGGGCCGGAATCGTCACGATGCACAAGTAGATTGGCGAGTGATTAGCATTGGCAACGGTAGGAGCATTAAGGACTGGGGAAACACCTACGGGTGAGAGGGCCCTGGTAATGATGATATGTCACACTAGGGTGTTCACATCGCGACATAACTACACAAGACAGTGACGCCAACGTCCGTCAGGAAGAAAGTTCGTAGACAAACTCATGATGAGCATAAACTATACAAGTGCTTGCCGGGGCTGCGCGGCTCGTTGGATAAATCTAATTTGTTTCTATTAACAATTTTCTTCATAAACAACATTCGACGTCTTGGAATCAACGTTTGTTTCGTCTTCCGGCAATAGGATGCGCGAGTCGTCTCGTTGACGGATCCGTGAAAGGGCTGTGTAGAGTTGACCATGTGCGAGGTTAGTGGGAAAGTTTGAAGGGAAACCGATGAAGGGCTGATTTATATTTTTGCGGTGTGTCAATGACGTCGACATATTGTGGAGCTGCTGCGTTCGAACGGCAACATGATGCAGTCGCCACGAAATTGACGATATGCTCGCGACAACAACGAAAAGAAAGTAGAGTTGTGTTTATTGGTGTGGGCGGGGACTTGGCAAAGTCGTAAGTTATGGAGTGAAATCATGGCACGAAATAGTTAGTACGTTTTTGAATTGAGGCGTGTTTGGAAGTTGGTCAAGTAAGCGCACGCGGGTGGACGACGCTCCAAGGTCATCATAAGATTATATGTTGTGGATGGGAAACTCATTGTACCCACCCCTTCCAAGCAGCTTCCCAACCCTCCACGAAGCACTCCTCAGCGAATGCACTTACAGCCCACGTACGCGCGCGCGTCCTCATCGCTTGCTCCTCTGACTGATTCATGCTCAACACCGTGTGCATGGCGTTCGCGAAGCTCTGCGGATCACGTGCATGGAATCCCGTTGCTTCACCATCCAGGGGTACGACAATATCATGAAGTGGACCGCCAGAAGCGTGTGTCACAGGAATCACACCTGCAGCCTAGTTTCATCGAGGTAAGTTACTACAGAACAAAACAGTTGAAACAGGAAATCTGCACCATGAATTCAACGACGTTTATTCCAAAATGTTCGTCCACCATCGTGCTGAGTCCGATGCTTGCCATTGCGAGCCAGCCGAGCATCTCGGGGTAGCTTGCGTTGACGATGAACTGGACGTGAGGGGTTATATCGAGTTCCTTTGCGAGATCTCTAAGGGACTGCACGCGTGCGTGGTCGTCTTCATTACGTGCACCACCCAGCAGGAAAAGTTTCACAGAAGTGGAGCCAGAAGTATAAGACGGGTGATCAGCCAACAGCTGCGCAAAGGCGCGGAGTTGAGCAGGATGATCCTTTTCTGGCCTTATAATCGACACTTGAGCTACAGCAACGAATGAAAAGTGGAATGGAAACATACCTGAATTGTGCGATACTCAATATAATTCTTTCCCTCTTGTCCAATGGAAATTGTACCATCTCGCGGGTATCGCAAGGTGGGTATACAATCTTGGCTTCTCGTCTCTTGCTTGTTGACTCGGTGTGGAGTTCCTTCGGCCTCTTGAACATAGTCGCAAAGAGACGAAGGGCAAAAAGGGGGTTAAGAAAGTGCATGGTGTTCATGACGGGGTCAGAGTGCGAGAGTATTGCATCGATATGATTCTTTGTCCAACTGGAGTTGGCCATAATGAAGGAAGGGCGGGAGAGTGCCAGGGAGTAGTGATACATTAGGAAACGGTAATACCTATGAGAGAAAGTATCTCGATGAGTGCCATCACAATACCAGGGTCACAAACAGAACCGCAGTAGATTAAAAATTGAACGGAGCAAGAACACAAAGTGTGGATTACTTGCACTCACCACGTCTTCCCGAGGCTCAATACCAACGAGCCTGCGACATCTCCACTGTTGGTATGACCTACCTTTCGCGCCTTCACACGGGCTAGCATATCCGTACTGATTGTCGGATAATGTACGTATGCACCCATAGGTATGGAGCCCTTAGTGATCCATGCAACTACATGGAATGTAAAAGCGTAACCCATGCTGTCTAGGCGGTATGAACACTGATAGCCATGCAACATCCAAAACAAGTAGGCCCACCGATGTATAAGTCTGGGATGACTTGAGATAAAGCTTCCCAAGCGAGGAACATGGACCCAAGACTCTGCCCAATAAGTGTAAAACGAGGCCAGGCGGCATCCTCCACTAGGCGTCTGTTCTTTAGGAAGACAAAATGCAAAGATTTGGGGTCAAGAGAGATATCAAAGCGCGCTTCGACTTGATCTATTATTTGTTCCTTGGTCACGTCGACGTCTCCAGTATATACCAATGAGATGCAATTAGGATGTGCGCGTTGGGTGGCTGCTATGGCAGTCCAAAGGACACGTTCACCTCCCCCACCTGCATTGCTAAACAAATCTCATGAGTCAAAACATCCCAGTCCGTGGTGGGATAAACGTACCAGTAGGGATGGAAGTACCCGATAAATTGGGGTTTTGATGTGGCGGAGATGCCGAGGTTCTCGATGATGGCATGGCGAGCTTGTGCTGAGCGTCTGGCAAGTTTATTTGTGTATGCAGTAAAGACGATGATACCAATCACGCCTGTTAGAAGAAGGCACAGCAGGGAAATAGCGAAAGCCATGTCCAGTACCGTATGGTGTAATACAAAATCAAGGCTTTTGAGACTTTTGAGGCTCGCCTCTCGACGGCAAGAGCCCAAATACCAA